TGTTTTTGAAAGTGACTTTTTCATCGTAAAGTAAGGGTTCACTGTGGAAGAACCGAAGAAAAGGCAAATGTGACGATAAATTGGTTGCCTGCTGGGAATGAAAATAGATTCGCTAAGAGGTCCAGCGGTAACAAAAATAGAATGCCCTGGCCCCTTCTCCGGGATCCTTGTTTCCTCATTGATTTCCGCTTTGGAGTGAGACTCATATGCTGACGTGATTGTCGTAAATGTCCTGCTTTGCTTTTTTGCTACATGGGCTTACAGCAAGGGGATGGTCAAGCAGTGGACATGGACGACCTCAAAAAGGGTCCACCGTTGCGGGTAAGGCTCCTCATACCACGAGAGGCTCTGATTTTATGATGATGATATCAAAAAACAGCCTGATATTATTCAAAAATGAGGTGTTGTCAATACGAGGTTCATTTTTTGCTGAGCGGCCCCTGAAGGTTAAGAAATGATCAGAAAAAGAGCTTATTAGGATAGGGGGGTTTTTGAGTGTATGTATAGGACCTCTAATAAGTTTTTTTGGATATTGAATGGTTATTCAAAATTAATTATTCAAAAATGGAATGTTGTCAAAGGTACGTACTCAAGAAAGGGTAAAGGTTCCATAGGGGTCAGCACCCATCTGCTCGCAGTAGACTTGGCCGAGTAGATAGCCCACTGGACGCATATTGGCACGTACAGGGAAGGGTTCATAAATCAGCTCTCCTCCAAACCTTCGCCTTTCTGTCTGTCGATTCCAAATCGACATGAAATGGTTTCAGTGCCAAAATAGTGTCACTTTCACAAATCAAGACCATATTTACTGCTACCAGTGGGTTTTTTCATAGGAAACCGGCAGAATAAACTCGTAGGTTCAAACTGGCCGACGCCTGGGACGAACATCTTATGCGTCAAGGCCCTGATTCATTCCTATGAGCGTACATTCAGAGAATATCAAAATTTTGCCCGAACCTCGGAATAGTGGAGCGGCCATGGGTTGGCAGCCCTTCATGCCACTGGATGGCTTGAAGACGAACAGGGCACTAGAAACACGCGTTATTACCTGGTGCTTCAGGGAAATCAAAGTTTGCTTCCGTGGAGAACATCTCCATCACGTTGCTGTTCTTGAAATCGCTACACTTATCAAGAGGAACCCCAGCGAGTGAAATGAGTGAGGAGTGAAGAGTGAAAAACAAATCTTCCAGCTTCCGTTGGAGGCGACTTTACCTGGCGACTACAACATTCTCTTGGGTCCTCTCGTCCCTCACCCTGCTCGAAAGCCTGCCACTGTTCAATTCAAAACGGAATTTATTGTCATTCAAACAGAATGGCGAAGAACTCATTCCCATGACACCCATTAGGGTTGATGGGCTCATCAATGACCAATTTTTCGAAATCAGTCTACCTCTCACAATCAGTTTCATGAGGAACTTGGAAATTCTGTTGTGAGAGCCACTCAGTGCTTTGATCGCGAACACTGCGTTCAGTTTCAAAATGTGGCTCCATTTGACGCCATTTGTTGCCGTTCTGAGGTTACAACAGCTTTTCATCAGTTTTCAGTGGAAACCTGCATGTAAAGGTTTTGGTAATGAACATGTCACACAGTCTTGGCGCTGGCACTATATTTGGAGCAAATCTGGATGCTACAATCGGAATGCATAATTTTCTGTCTCTGGAAATTGAAGTTTGGACCATTTGTTCACCACTTTTGGCCGTTAGGAAGGAAGCCCTTTGATCGCTCAGCAAAATGAACCACGGTTTTACGTAGTCCACATGAGAGCCCCCACAGCATGCAAAAATCGTGCTGAAAGGCCCTTTACACTATTCCACCCCCCCCCCCCTCATATTGGTATGAAGCTTGCTTTTCTTTATGGTCAGTATACATATCTCCCCTTCTTCGACCTCCAATTTGTCCTAACAAATCTGTAAAAATAAACCACTAAATTGAACCCTTCTGGCTTAGGTGGGACTCTGATCCTCGAGTAACACATTTACAATCATTGTCATTATCTGACAGATTGTTACAGTGAACACTTGCAATGAAATGCTTTCACTCAGTCAAGAGTGAGATTTCTTCCTTTCCTCATACCCTTTCGTATGTTTTAATTTTAAGGCACGAGAGAATGCCCCGAAACCTCAAGTCATCATCTCCTTGCGATCGGTTTCGCGCTCGGTCAAACCAATAATAAGCTTCACTACTTGCGATGCGCGAAGTGGATGAGAGTCCCTTGACTTCTTCGATTACCTGGTTGACTCACTGTACCGAGGAGAGACGATCCTTAACATTTTTTTTGATTGTTGTAGTCATTGGTTGTAGGTTCATTGTGTTTTCCCCGTGCTGTAGGCAAAGCGTGCTAAGCACGTTAAACTCGATTGTTCGACCCGTTTTTTCTTTCTGAAATGTGATGATGATTTGGTCATGTAAAAGTCAGTCAGACTAAAAATTATAGATGAACTAAGATTTTCGTGTAGTGTGCTGAGTGTCATAGCTCTAATAATTTATTTTAAAGATATTATCATGTGCGTCGATAACTAAATAAAAGAGTAGTATGTTTAGTGTCGAACATTATAGGTATTCAGTTAGTCAAAGAATGACAAGTCATAATGTTTCTTCCGTAAACCTTGTGTTTTGACAATTCACGCTTAGTAAAAGAAGCCCACAGTCCGTACTCGGCGATGTATTTCTAAAACGGTAATCAAAAATTGCAAGTGCTGCACGTACTGCAAATCCCGGCCGCAAGTTCCTGTGCTCTATAGCTGATGATTGATGGCGACTGTCATCGTTCTACGCGTTCCAATTTAATGTTTCAATGTTCCTAAATGACCACGCGATGCTCGACTCGGCTGCGACATCGCGCGACGGATCGTTACTCTAACACCACGTTAAGACGTTGGCGACAATTGCACCCGACGTCGGGCGACACCCCAAAAAAACTGGACGCTTAGATTTTGTTTCTTTTTTCGAGCACCTCTTTTCAAGGATATAATACTACTCATTGGATTATGTATTGCACTTTCTATGGTTTTGCTACATTTTAAAATTAACAATACGTGTAATGAAACGCAGCCAAAAATTAACACGTTGACGACAGCCCGTTGTGCGCGCATCTCAACAACTTTTTGTTTATTATTTTCAAAATAGACGTTACTCCTTCAACAATTCCACCACTGTTAATTGGTGCACAGTTTTCCGGATAAGATTATGCATCCGGACAGTTTGAAATATGAAATATGCCAAATAAACGACAAAAAACGAGCGGTCGGACCCGAGGTCGGATTTCCCGCATCCGAGTGAATCTGGCGCGCATGCGCGTCATGCTGTCATCAACGTGTTAAGGTTCAGCACGAAGTTGCGACGCGCTCAAAAGCATTCAATGCCGAAAAAGCCCTCAAAAATACTACATCGAACTGCCACTTTCCTATATGCGATCTATAGTTCAGTAAGGACCACTATCGACGGAAGCATTGGTTATAACAGCCTCGACAACATCTGCTGTCTCAGATGACGGCAATAAAGAAAAAAGGGACTTGCACCCTTTGTTGACGCAATGAAATACTACGCACGGAAGAGTGAAGATAAGCAAAAGAGCGCCTATACCAGCATGCTGCGGAAGAGGAAAATGGATATGGTCAAAGCGGTTTTGCAAGGCTCTGGCGCCCTTGTTATGCATTTCAGAACCGGAAGAAGGGGCCATCTGTCGCCTTCATGAAGAGCACTATCCTACCCATCAAAACGACTGGTCGTTCTGGTTGTGCCTTTTATGTCGCCATCCACATGGTCTCTCTCCTTGCCATAACCCAGGATGAGTTCAGATGCATGCGGTGGATGTCCGTTATCCCGGCTTCAAATGCGTAAACAGGGGACTAAGGCCCTAAAAGAAACCTCCCATTATCGTGAGGCATTCATTGGTTATTGTTGTAAGGTAGTCAGGAATAGATCGCGGAAAAGTTTATGTCACAGACTCTGAGAAAGCGCACCCTGCTGAGTGAGGAGGCGCTAAAGTGCGAGTTTCTGAAGAATATTTTGTTTTGAGAACTATCGTTATTGGAACGCTAAAATTGTCTCTAATTAACAGGAGTGCATTCAGGAGAAAGGGCGTTCACGCGAACGCACCCGACGGACAAGAGGACTTCCTCGAATTGCTGCCGTTTCCCTTCATCACATGACACTGTTCCTGCTAAACCCTGCCTGCTATAAGCGGAATATTGTGTCTCCATGGCAACGGCATTTCGGCGGAAGGCGTTGTTGTGTGCTGTGCGAGACCGGTGCTCCGCTGCATGAATGCCTGGTTGTTCTTCGATGTCGGGAGAAATGTCGCCAAGAGAGCTGATTTCTGACGTACCACTTCCCAATTGGGAGCTTATTGGTTAGTTATTATTTGACTGTCGTTTTGTTTAGGATTGCCCCATTCGCTGATTTTTCAGATGAGGTGTCCATTGCTCTGTTGGAAAGCGGTTTAGCTCGTTTTTCGACACTTCAAGCAGTTTTGCCTACAATGCTTTCATTCGACGCCACCTCAGATGAAGCTTCTCAGCGGAGTCGAAAGCTTCTTCGTATTTCTCAACTTCAAATCGAATATTTGTTGGTTAGTCTAAATAGCCACTTAATGTATAACTTCAGAGACGTCAACACCCCTACTTCGTGTTCTATAATATTTTCAGAAATCCCAAAATCAGCTGGTGCAGCAAATTCAGAAAATGAAGAGCGAGTTGATTTCTAAGAGGAAAGAAGTGAAACGTCTGAAAGCGGCCGTTTTTAATGAGGATGCTCCTCTTTTCAAGGTGAGCATGAGACGAAACTCGAAATTTATTATTTTCGCGGCGTGGCGCGATGTGTTCTGTGGAACGAAACATCCCTGCACTTCATTATATTCAGACTTTTCAAATTTTCAATTGTGCTATAGCATTCTAAAAAGGGTGATCGATTAATGGCAAATGCTTTATAATTAAAACGATTAGGGCGGAAGTGGTGTAGTGGCAAGTGGCACGCTCACCACGCGAGCGGTCCGGGGATCAAATCCTGGGGTCGTGAGTCGCCCGGGCAAAAACACTGACTTGTACATCGGCTGGCCCCCGCAAGTCATTGTATAGGCCACATCGCATTCAAACGCCACTACGAATGTACAAATGGAAGTAGAATGCGTGCCGCATCCCAAAAGGGATTGATCAACGGCAAATGCTTTATCCTTTATCCTTTACCTCTACGCTTATTGTTAACTTCACCAAGTCTGAAGCGTTTTTTACAAGTAAAATTGTTGGAATATTCAATGAATTATTGAAGTGAGCGCCCTTTTCGAATCAATGAACTCATTTTACCAGAAGCCCATAGAGCAGGAAATGAATAACCTGCACCAGCCAATTCCGTGAATAATTTTGGCCATATAGTTAGTAGTCGCACGACATGCTGTACATGGTAAAATAATGAAATATCCAGTGTCGATTTACCATTCTTTGGCAGATTCCCCAGATTCTACTCCCTTTAGAATCATAGCAGTATTTCTAATGCGATTCAGCCTGTAGAGCCAATTACGGGAGCCAACCGACGTACAGGTCGGTATTTTGAATCTCGTATCTAAATCTACCAATTAACCGATCGCGGGCTGATGGGAGGCTCGGTTGGCTTGGATGGCGTACGATCCAGGATTTGATCCTGAAATCGTGCCCGTGGTAATCGGTACCCGACAGGAGGCCCGTCGCGCGGCAAGAAGGAGTCAGCGGACGAGTCGCAGCGCGTGATGTGCGATGTAGGACGTACAATGGTACATTCTATTTAACTTGACGCGAAATCACTACAGTACGCGCTGCAACTCGTCCGCTGACTCTGCCTTCTTGCCGCGCGACGGATTCCTGTCGGATACCCAACGACGCCACTAGACCGCTTACCGCCAGTATACTATGATATTTTGAAATTTTGGAAAAAAATTCAAATACATACATGGCAGCTGCGTTACGCAGCCGGATATTGCTGGGAATTCGGAAGAGTTTTTCGAAAGACCTTCTGAATTTGTTGAGCCTTTCAAAGAAAAATGACGTCTCATTGTTATAGGGAATGCTTACCTCGCTAGGTTGAAGACTAGAATTTGACAACGTTAGTTCAGTTATTGAAATTATCAACATCTTCGGACTAGTTTTCTTGGGAGATACACTTGCCTTTCAAGAAAATCGCGCTAATCATAAGCAATAATTACAAGTAAGCCAGCGCAGATGCTGCGTACCGCACGGCCGGAAGATCTTCAAGGCGTCTTCCTAATGCTTTCTCTTACAACATACCAAGCAGCATGATGTGCTTAGAGACGTCACTTGAAAGGAAATCTGCAGATGATTTCATTTTTCAAAAGATACGCGCTCTCTCATGAATCCTCAATATTGAATCTTGATGAACACAATGTCCGGAATAATTGCGAGTTGCTGGGAATTTTGAGAGAGAGAGTGCATTATATGGGCTGTAGTCAGATGGGATACACATCACAGTAGGGTAGGTTCACATACCCATGATGGTCAGCGTCGGTGAAAATGTAGTTCGCGGGGGGGGGGATACCCATAATATCTAATCAAAGCGACAGTATCTAACCACAGTGGAGCTGCAGAAGTGCGGTCATATCTAATCAAAATTCAAAGCAGGACTTAGTACAGGGAAGCGGCATGTCAGCGGGTTCTGAATACAAAGAAAAGAAGGCCCCCGCTCTCGATTCCTCGTGGAGACGAATTTTTGCATTCCAAGTGGTGATTCGAAATTCGCGCAAAATGGACCACAGTGGGACCGTTTTGATGTCACACCTTGTTTCACAGTGTTTTCTCGATCAAAGCCCTTATTTGTAAGGGTTATAGACGGTCCCATGAGCACGGAACGAACTGTGATGTCATGAAGTATGGTACTAACTATTCATGCTATCCATTTTGCGCGAATTTTGGAACGTCAACTCGAAATGCAAAAATTTGTTACCACGAGGAATCGAACTAGGGACCTCCTTTTCTGGTATTCAGAGGGCCGTTCAGGAAAAATTGAAACATGGTTCTGTGGTTCCCGCATGTGCCCCAATGTCTCCTGCAAGAAACCATTTTGAAAAAGCTTGGTACACCCTGTACGACCTCCTGTTAGCTATCGCGGTTACTTTAGGGAGGGCCAACCCGAGATTCGTACGAAATCGAATACCCTAGAGGCCTGTGTGTCATATAGCGCTGAATTTGCGATCGTGGGAAGGAATCCATCGCGAAAATGTAGCTCAGCATGTAGCAGCCATTTCGCGGGAAAATTCTGACATTGGGTGCCAAGTCTGACGTTATGGTTGTCGCCACGGTAATGTAGCGAGGATAAGGTGTGTTTGAGCCTATTGTATCTTTCCTACATTTTTTTCCGTCAGATATGAGTGTCTTTCGCAACTCCACTTCAACTAGATAACACCCCCCTTCCCTCCCCTCCCAACTCCCGAACTACATTGTCCCGTCAGCATCTAAAGCACCTCCACAATGAAGAATTTACCATCGAATCATTGCTGGCAAGACACTACACAGTACGATAATATGACAGACTTACGACCTGGAATGGCAGCATACGGGCTGCGCCTAAGAGAATTGAAAGCCCAATAAGACCCTATTACGACATTGTCATATTTGGTTTCTTAATCGAACACTTTGTCGGCCATGCCCATACATAGCGAGCTAAATATAGAACCAACAATGCCATTTCATGGGAAGCGTTTTCCGTGCGCGCTACCGTATTCCAACGATCTTGCACATGCAAAGCTGAAATTGCTTTTTCAGTGTGCTTCCTGTGGCAAAGTCTTCGTGAATCAAGAATTTCTGGCGAGCCATTTGAAGAGACGGCACAACGACGAAAAAACGGAGACGATGAAATGATCTAACCATATTTCCCTGGTATTGTTGATTTTGGCTCAACTACTGTCATATACGGTTTTCCATTCAGTACTGTGTGCAAGACGCAAAAATTAACTTTATGACGTTGGTCCTCTAATTGTAGTCGTTTTTCATGTTTTTCTTGTAAGTGGTGCATTTTGCTAGCTACTATTTTGCTTAATTTAAATTATCTGCTGTTTCCAGATATAAAGGAATATTCTTAAAATTGTGCATATTTATAATAACCAGTTGGCGCCGCACGCATTGCGCGCGCAACACAGATCTGCGGCGAATTTTGATGGTGCGACGAAAATTTTCAAATTTGGCTTGATACATACGAATATCTGAATTCTCAGCTAAATTCTATCCGCTCCATCATCGACGGCTTTCAACCTCTTTTTCTTCGTCAACCATTATCCTCTTTTTCTCGGTCTCGGACTGCTTCCGGACAATAAATCTCGTGGCGAACTCCGTCTACTTCGGTGCGTGCCCGCCCACCAATAGCATTTGGCCCCTTCCTTTCGCCGACCTCTACCCCCTTTTTCACCGGTCTCTGGGACCTCTTGGA